AGGGTAAATTTCATATGGACCCCAAAAATTAAGAGTTTCAAAGAAGTCTGTGTTTTCAAAAACTATAAAGTTGGGTCCCTAAGTCTAAATATGTGCTTCAAATTGGTCTTCCCATGATGGATTCATCAAAAACCATTTAAATCTATTAAATGCCCATCTTATAAGATGAGTTGAAAAACCTAATTTAAGGAAACTAAAAGAGACCATATATAACTCTCCAATCATGTACTTTATATTGCATCTTCTCCAACAAACTCAATATTTTTGCAGTTTGCAATAAAGAGAAAAAAAAGAAGGATGAGTTTCTGAAAGTGGCCAATGTTTCTAATAGATAGGTAGTGCTCCGATATTAGCATTGATCAAGCTCATCAATGCATTTACAAGTATTAAGGGGATCCAATGGCCTTCCATTATGTTTAAACACACTTGTGTATTTATTTCTTCACTATCTTATCTTGTTTATGGATAAGTTTAGGGTTTTCATCACTTTGAATGAGTTGTGATTTGATAAAAGAATAGTGCATATTAAATACTTGAAAAACCAAACACTCAATAGAGTCCAAAGAATGAACACATTAATTCTGCATTAGAAATAAGAAAATAGTTCTCACACAACATCAACTAATAATCTCCCTTGCAATAGCACCAAAGAGTAATTCTCAAGTTTAGAGAGAAAGTGTGGTTCAAAATGCACTAGGATAAAGATTAACATAGAGGTTTGACAAATTCAAGCGAAGAAAGAGAGAAGTTTGTTTTGAGGTGAAAATAATCTATACGCTTTAATGAATTTAATTTCATTCATTTTTATCCTGATATTAAGTTTATAGAAATAAACAAGATAAAATAATCAAATGTAAATTCATAATAGCTCCTAAACCAAAACAAACTTATTTTATTCTTGCAATTAGGAAAAAAAAACTAAATACTAGTGGGTGAGCCAACCACCTATGCTTAAATAGGAAGATCAATTTCAAAATTAACCCTTTCCACATCTTCATATCAAGAATTTTAAATTCTCCATATCTTCTTATCTTTCAATAATTTTTATTACTAATTTTTGTTATTGGCTTCTCCATGCCTATAGAAAAAAATGGTAAAAAAAGGTGATCGAGTTTTAATAATACACTTATGCAAATTATCATATTTTATAAAGTAATAGCTCTCAAATTAGTAATTTTAAATGTCCGAGCAGCCCAAACCAAACAAAAAATTTGCACCCTAGCCCCCCTCGAATGAGAGTTTTATGTTGTGTTCCAAGTTAAATTTGCAAAAGGTAGGTTATATTGAAAACAAGACACTGCCCAGAGATTACACTCACATTTAGCAAAGGACTTTAGGCTTGGGATTTAGGTTTTCCATAGGTGCAAGACCCTATGGTTAATTAACCCTTCCAATAATGAAAAACTTTTGATTAATTTTAATCATAGACATTAAGTATTTGAATTTAACATATAAGAGCAATGAAATTAAGATTTAGATTATGAAATTTATTAACATGAGCTCAAAGCGGATAAGAGAAGATTATGACAAACCATATCAAGATTTCATGATTCTTTCGTATCGGGTTGTCATCGTGATTTATTTAGAGAAAAAATCGAAATGACCAGATCGAAGGATCCTTGTCAGCGGCCATAAGTTATTTTATTTAAGGGAACCATGCAAACATGGGGTGAATGTTTGCCTAAAATGACAAATCTAAGTCAATTTTAACTAACTGAGAATTTAGTGTCCTATTAAGTACAACATATATTTCACGTCTCAAAAGACAACAAATCATTAAGGAACATACATGCTATAACCATAACTGTAATATAGTGGAGACAACATGACAAATGAATTGGGCAGAAGGCTCAAGCAATTCTTCCATGTATGATCTTTACTTTTGCAATGGGTTCAATAAAGTCTGTCTCTTGCACTTGCTTTAGTTTCTCCTCTACTATCTTGTCATTTGGTTAAGAGAGATTCCTCCTTTTGTTCTAGTTGATTTGGTAATTTATTGTAATAGCTATGGTTTTGAAGCCTGCTTCCAAAATAATACCTTGTAGAAAATAGCCTCAGCTCCATCCTAGTTCTTCTAATACTACTACATACTTCATAAAAATGTCTCTCTTTGAAAAGAACCTCAGGGGCAATGGCTTACTCAATTTACATTTCTACTTACATCAATATGTTCCATTTGATCCCCTTATCATCCTCATGTCCAAAAGGATAGAACTGAGATCTTGAGAGTCCTTTAAACCTATACTACCACTCATCCTTGACGAACTATGGACTTTAGCCTCTTTATTCTACCACATCAATGCATATGAGGACATTTTCAATAAAGTAAAAGAACAATCAATATATGATTATATTTATAAATAAAGAATTAATTCTACAGCAATTCTGACTAGTCATAAAATTTCTCCACATCAACATTACAATCATATGAGTAGAATTTAATATTCACATCAAATTTGAATGGAAGTACATTTAGTAATAATTTGGGGATCAACCTCCTCCCTCATGGTCAGATGGCACCTTGTAAGCCGCATCATCCTTTTTTGTGAAAATTATTGCCCACTTGTCATGATGTATGTGAATGGTGGAGGATGAAATATTTATTTATTTTAGATGTTCTCTAGATAGTCATTTGCTATATGAGATTGTTGACTAGGCTTTCTAGCTTATTTATCCTACTTTCAAGCCCTCTTTAGTTTTCCATAGGAATTTCTACTAATGCTTTTTTAGCTAAATGTCTTCAACATGCTCAATTGGCTCTTAGATTGTCACACTTGTTTTCACCTTCTTCCTCACGCCCTACAAAAAAGATCTATGTCCTAATACATCAAATATAATATAGAAGAGAATGATGCATATGATGACTCCTCTAAAACAAGGAAGGGTGGCTTGACTATTATAATTAAAGATTATAAGGATGGTCACAACTCTTAGGATGTTAGGTTTGATCAGTGATCAGAAAGACTTTTTGACACATAAGTAGGTCATGCAATGGGAAACAATGAAACTGATTAAGGTTTATCATTTTTTTAGAAAATTAATTGGTGATAAAAAAGAGGATGTGATATATCAAACGAATTTTGAATGCCATGACCTTACCAATATTTACTTCTTCGCATTGATGATGCCCTTCTTATCTTCTTATTGCCTTTGAACCTCCCTCTTCCTCTTACATTTTAATCTTTTAGTTTTCTTCTTCTTCTAGGATTATCCCTTGAAATGGCTCTCTTAGGATTAATACCCCCTTCTTCCTAAGGTCTCTGGTAAATAGAGAAAGCAAGATGGAGAAAGAGGGATATGATCAATTTAAGGCAAAAGAGAAATATGATAGAAAGAAAAGGAAGAGAGAAATTGGAGGCCTTAATAAGTTCAATTTCAATTGTCCCTAATAAAATATTTAACACAAGCATTTATAGAAATAGTATAACTAAACATTCAGGATTAACAAGTCCAAGCGCTCTCGTTTTACCCTGCTCGCATCTCGACCAGCCAACATTCCAGTTCGCATCTCGGCCTGCCCATGGAGCATTTGCTACATCTTGTTCATGGCTAGCATACATCCCGCTTGTGTGCACCATGTTCACTTTCGTGCTAGGGCTCAGCAACCAACCCCTTGTGTTTCCTACCTACTATATTTTTTGCATGTAGCTTCGTAGGAACTTCCAACTGAGTGCCTACCTCCTTTGGTAGTATTCCAACTTCGGAAGAATGTCCCACTCACTCACTCCTAATCTTATGATTTTTAGGTCTTCTTCATCTTCTTTCTCACCTTTGAAGAACTATTTTTCCGTCATCTTCATCATCATGCTCATTTTATTCCTTAAACTTAGGTCAGTTCAATCCTACTGTTCCAATTTCCAACATGCATCCACCTGCTTTGGCACCGATTATTCAACATGCCCCTCTTCTACCTCACTCTTTGATCGTTCCTAGACCTTTGAATTTACCCTCTATTAGTTTGCTTCCAACCCTACTGTCTGCGCCTTTAATTTTTTGCAAATATTATCAATAGGTTGAATGATAGAATTTGTTCACCTTCATCAAAAAATCATTTTCTCCCATTTTAATCAAAATGCAATTCCATGTCATCATAAGCTTGCTTCAAATACCAGGACAAACCTGTATTTATCCTCATAGATAAGGAGATCCCATACCTTCACTAATTAGGAGATCACTGATTAGGCTAGACCTATTTATTCTCTTATTATAAGTAAATTCTCATTGAATTGCCCAAACACAAAGACTATCTGCAGCTTTTTAATTAATTTGCATTTCTTTGGCGAGTATTTTGTTGGGCTTATTTATCCCCAAAATACCATTAATAAACTATCTTCAAAAGTTGACTATAGCAAGATTTTTTTGGCAGATTTACGGTATCAGTGATTTCCAATGTGCGTGCTAAAAGAATCACCCCATTTTGACTCTTAGAGAAGCCACCAAGTACTCTTGTCTGAATATCATTCTAACGATTTTGATGATAGCAAATCCTCCCTATATTCACTGAGTTCAATAGTTCGAAATCATTAACTAGTTGAATATAGTACTGCTCGTCTCACTAAGCCAACAGTGGCCCATATCCAAGTTGAACAATATGTAGTGCAGTGCAGGGTGTTGGTTAACCAACTATGCTCAAAGAGACAGTTAATATCAAACATATCCCTCAATATCTTCATATTTTAAATTTTAAACTCACTGAACCATATCCTCCCTTTTTAGTATTCCATAGTAATGGATTTTTTTTAATAGGATGCGTTATGCACGTGGGAAAATAGGCAAGAGTATAGGTGGATTTTTATTATTGCTCCCACGCATGTTCTCTTGCCATTTAAAACTAATAGCCTACGAATTAGCGGATTCTAAGTAACCAAAGCCTCATGAATACCTCTTTTTAAATGCTGCTAAATTAGTATTTACATAAACACAAGTAGATACAAGGGGGGTTTATGGGCCGGTGGGGCCGGTGCACAATAACTTCTGCATAAAAAGTACCATGAACCTACAAGATCACCAGCCCATATGCCAGCTTCATCACCGCCAGTACCTGCTCTAACTGTAGGCAATAGAAAAAAATATCCATTATAACAATATATTTTCCAAACCAGAAACAAGTAAGAGAATAGTTGAGGAATATAAAGCCATTATAACAATATATTTTCCAAACCATGACTGAGAAACAAGTAAGAGAATAGTTGAGGAATATAAAGCAAATAAATACCTTCCAGCAAAATATTGCGTGAATCAAGGGGATCACTAGGTAGTACTAATACCTGAAAAACAATTATTCCATGGGCTTAAAATCAGTAACTAGTTGTATTATTGCTGCCAATATCCAGAACAAGTGAAGAAGAAGGCAAAAAAGACATTTAAGTTCTCCTGCAACCTTAAATAAAATCTTAACAAAAAGGAAGATTACATACATGCCACTCACTTCCTATGTGTTTACATATCTAACACCTAGACTTCAATTTTTACTTATATGTCACTCTACCTATCCATGAAAAGGTGTATTTCACTTTTTAAAAGTTAAAATAGTGGTATTTTTTGTCATACGAAAGATTTGGGTGGTATAAATGTAAAAAAGTAAAGTTTACGTGTTAGATATGGGTGGTAGGCATGTAAATGGCCCTAAAAATTGTTAACTAGACTAATAAACTGTGCTACTGAAGGTATAAAGGAAACATTCAAACCCTAATTGGCATCTCATTTGACCACCTACCTTTAAGACCCACTAGTTGGGAGGCGACTATAAGAGAAAAGCTTCAAAAACATTGAGCCTAAATCATCTCGGACATTTATTTAGTTATCTGAATTGAACCAAAATTAAAACTAATATACAGTACAGCCATACAAGAGATAACGGAGTGAGTCATAATTCTAAAGATAAAATGATAATAGTATAAAAGAAGAGAAAAAAAAAAAAGGATAAAAATGAAGAGTTAAAAAACATAAGTATTGAAGCAAAGAATCAGATCGTTGCACATAAATGGAAGAAAGAAAATTGGTTATAGCACTAAACGGAGAAAAAACAAAAAAGGTAAATAAGCACCTGCAAAAAATGAACTATTCAAAACAAAGATGAAGAATTACATGTGAGATGTATACATTCCTGGACCACATGGGCCCAATCATGATTTAGGAAGTAGTGGGTCAGCTGATACATTTGAGATGGAGAAATTATTCTCCCTTAATTATTCATTATTATATTTTATTTCTTTCCTTATTTTCGTGATGATTTGAGTTTCCCTCTAATTAAATTAGGGTTAGTCTAAGTTGAATATAAATTGTTATTTGCGTGTATTAAAAAATAAGAGAAATTAAAGAGTTTTTCCTCCAAATTTTCTTTATGGTATCAAATTGAGGCATCATACTCTAGCTCTCCTTCCTCTATCAGAACATCTTCAAGCAGCTGCCAGTCCCTTCAGGTCCTCCGTCAGATTCCCTCTCTAGCAGGCGCCTTTCAGCTGTCATTCAAGTCGTCTGATTTTGTGTTTGTAATTGTCGTAGTCTAGGAACGTCACTGGTCCAACATACCACCGGATTCTATGCCTGGCCTTCCGCAATCCGCTCATAGAATCCTGACCAAAATCCCAATTTTGCAGGTATGGGTGCCCACTTTCTCTCTTCGGTGGAAGTCCTGGATCAGCAAGTTCAAGGCTTCCATCTAATAAGGCTCGCAAATCAGCCCTTTCTGCCCAACGCAGTCCGCAAATCAGGACCTTTCTGCCCAACGCAGTCTGCAAATCAGGCCTAGAGTAGTTTGACTCCACGTTATCTCTCTAGTGTAAACTATCCCAAGGTCCGGACGTATTTGTACGCTTTCTCTCTCTACTGCAAATCTAGTCTCTTCGGTGCATATCTACAATCTTGCCTGCGCCAGAGACATTGAAACTGAGTCACTGCCTTGAGGCTTGTGATTGCGCTCTTGAGACTTCTTGTGTATTTCACTCGAGCGAAAATTTTGTTTCGGCGATAGACGACTTTTCTATCCTGTGTGAAAATCATGTGTTGACCAACAACTAGTCTCTCTCTAGTGGAAATCCTTTGTTGGAAATAAGCAGTTCCTTCTTGGTGAAGCTCCTCCTGATGCCTTTTCATAACGAATAAATATAGCAGGAAATTTACTTTCACCTTAGAAGTTACCTTTGAATCTGACTTTAGTTCTACAGCATCTGAAATCTCTTCCTGCATTATCAATCACAAACTACATAGCAACATTTTTTTCCAATGGTCTCAATCGATATTCATGTCTATATGTGGTAAAGGTTAAAAAAAATGATGATCTCATCAAGAAAGATCCTGCACCAGAAATTACTGATCCTAAACATCGGACATGAAAGATTAGTCATAAGATCATGTCATGGCTTGTCAATTCCATGACCATGGAAATTGGAGAAAACTTCTGCTTGTACAAAATAGCAAAAGAAATATGGATGTCGTTAGGGAAATCTATTCAAGTGTTGACAAGTGACATTGAAATGAGAGTACATGACTTGCAACACGATGAGTTGAATGTTACTCCTTGAACACTTTCTCCAAATGTTAGCTCCAACTAGATATGCATGAAACACATACCTAAAGGTGCTCACAAGACTCTGCTCTTTACAAAACCATTGTTGAATAGATGAGAATCATAAAGTTCCTTCTAGGGCTCAACAAGGAACTAGATGAAGTAAAGAATCACGGGAACCAAATCTCCTCCTTCAATTTGTAAAGCCTTTACTGAAGTACAAAAAGTTGAAGCAGAAATAACTCATGATAGCAGGTAATCTCAGTATATCAAATGTTGACAACTCAGCTTTATACACTCACAAATCTTCTCCGTGGTGTGAACATTGCAAGAAACGTCATCATATAAATGAGAAGTGTTGGAAATTTTATGGAAAGTCTGTAGATTGGAAGCACAAAAAAGTCAAAGGTGATTATTTAAGCCAGATAAACACAACATCAAAGAAAGACAAGCCTCATATAAACATAGTTCATTCAATAAAGAACAACTTGAAGTTCTTCAAAGGATTTTGGGACAATATTCTGACAAGCCATCTATCAGCCTTCTAGCACATCAAGGTAGTCTTCCATCTGCTCCCATTGCTCTCAACAGGAAGAATCAGCCTTTGATAGTGGACTCTAGAGCATCGAACAACATGACAGGTGATATCACTACTTTCCAATCCTTTCAATCTTACAAGCACTATGTTGTAGTTAGAACCACAGATGGTTCCCTCTCATCTATGGAAGGAAGAGAAAATGTAAAACTCACAAAGAGCCTTATTCTTCAATCTGTGCTTTATATTCCTTAACTACAGTTTACTGTCAATCAATAAACTTACTCGTGACATAAATTGTGTTACTAAATTTTACTATAATTTATGTGAATTTCAGATGATGGACTCAGAGAAAGTGAATGACAGTGCTGACATGTATCATGTACTTTATCTGCTCATTAGGACTCTCACTTCAAAAGGACAGTCCCATCATTCACAATCATTTGAATCAAGCCTTGTATCTTAATATGTTTCTCATAAAAGTCAAGTTATGTTATGACATTTTTATCTTACGCATCCTAACTTACATTATTTTGAAAAATTATATCCCCATTTTTTTTATCAATAAAAAGTCGAGTTCTTATCAGGGTGAAATTTGTCATCTTGCTAAATATATTCAACCAGTGTACTCAAGCCTGAAATATAAATCAACATATCGCTTCTCCATAGTTCATAGTGATATTTGGCCCTCAAAAATAAAAAATACAAATGGAGCTAGTTGGTTTTTCACCTTCATTAACGATCACACCAGAACCACTTGGATTTTCTCAAGAAAAAAAAATTAAAACTGTCAGCATATATGAAACCTTCCACAACATGATCCTCATCCAACTTTAGAGAAAAATTCAAATTCTCAAAACCGATAATGCAAAAGACTACTACAACTCCACTCTCGGCTCTTATCTATTCAAACATGACATCATTCATATAAGCTTTTGTGTTGAGACACCCCAACAAAATGATATGGCTGAGAAAAAGAACTGACATCTCCTCGAAGTGGCCCATTCAACTCTATCATTAATAATGCACCCAAACACTTTTAAGAATACAATTCTCACATCTAATTATCTCATAAATAGAATGTCCAACACAGTGCTAAACTTTCAGATACCTCTTAACACTCTCATAAAATCCTACCCACATATTCAATCTTTCACATCTAACATATCGTTAAAAAGTTTTGGTTGCATTGCTTTTGTTCATCAACATCAACCACATCAGACCAAACTTGATCCCAGGTCAATCAAATGCATCTTTGTGTGCTACTCTTCAAACAAAAAGGATATAAATGCTATGTCATAGAAACACAAAAATTTTACAACTCCATAGATGTCACCTTCTTTGAAAATGACCCATATTACCCCAAATCTAACATAGTTGAAGAGAATATCATATTTGGGGTACAATTTAGGAACTTCAAGCTCACCTCACTTATATCTCTGATGAACTCAGCATTGTCCCCACTATTAAAAATCAACCTGAAAATGAACCTACTACTTTACTCATTCCTCCCACAGCCCCAACCAAGAGCCAAGAACTCCATGTGTATGCTAAAAAGAAAAAAACTAGTGAGAATATAAGGAACAATATGCAAAATCAGGAATGCAAATCACCAGAACCAACTCCCCTCACCCTAAGTATTCGCACAGAGGTGGGGTCAACACATCATGAACACCAAGAGAAAGAAAGGATACAAGAATGCACAGAACACCCGATAGAAAAATTAATGACATGAAAAATTATCATCCTCTAACGAATCTTTTGTTCTGAACTTGGTGTATAGGTCTCAAATTTTTTCCAAGAAGCCTTAAATATTCCTGCTAAGAAGGTTGTGGAAGAAGAGTTTCTTTCCCTTGAAAAGAACGGTAACTGGATCATAACAACTCTGTCAGCTGGGAAAAGCATTGTAAGGTTCAAATGGGTATTCACTGTTAAATACAAAGCAGATGGGAGTATAGAAAGGTTCAAGGCTAGGCTTGTAGAAAAAAAAGTTCACTCAAACTTATGGGATTGACTACTAAAAAACATTCACACCAGTGGTAAAACTCAACACAATAAGAGTATTACTATCGTTGGTTGTCAACCAGAACTGGCATTTACATCAACTAGACAATAAAAGTATATTTTTTAATAGGGATCTTGACGAAAAAGTATATATGAAGATACCTCTAGAATTAAAGAATAACATGAATAATCAATTGGTATGCAAACTAAAGAAATAATTGTATGGGTTGAAACAATTTCCAAGAGCATAGTTTGAAAGGTTCATCAAGTCTATTCTTACCAATGGGTACTATTAGTGTCATACTAACCACACTTTATTAGTGAAATTAGTTAAGGAAACTTGAAACATTCAAAAGAATAATAGTTTCTGAGTTTGAGATCAAAGATCTTGGAACTTTAAGACACTGCCTTGAAATGGAAGTAGCTAAATCTAAAGAAGTCATTGTCATATCCTGAAGAAAATATTTTCTTTACATGTTAAAGAAGACTGGAATGTTATGATGAAAACCAATAGACACTCCCATGGATCCCAGCACCAAAAGGAGAGGATAACATCTTAGTTGAAAAAGAGAGGTACAAAGACTTGTGGGGAACTCATTTATTTGTCATATACAAGGCCTAACATTGCTTTTTCTGTGGGTTTCGTGGGCCAACATATGCACGAACCAAATGAAGATCATTTATAAATCATCTTTCGAATCCTGATGTACTAAAGATGATGTCAAGATGTGGATTAATATTCAAAAAAACTGAGAATTGTGGCATTAAGATCTACACTGATGTTAGTTGGATAGAAGAACTGATGGATAAAAGATCTACCACGAGTAACTGCTCATTTGTATGGCGCGACCTTGTTTATTGGAGAATTAAAAAAGCAAGTTGTGGTGGCAATAAGCTGTGCAGAATCTGAGCTTCGTGTCATGACCCAAGGAATTTGTTAAGGGATACGACTAAAGAAACTACTGATGGAACTTCACATGGATAGCCAAAATACTATTAAGATGTTCAACGATAGTCAATCAGCCATCAGTATTTCAAAGAATCTGATACAACATGATGGAACCAAACATATAGATATTGACAGGTATTTCATCTCTAAGAAGGCCGATGGGGGGTTGTCCAGCTCAGCTATATTCCAAATTAGTATCAGATTGCTGACATTCATACCAAGGTTCTTCCTCGGCGCCACTTCAGTGATCTTAACAACAAGTTTGGGATGTATGGCATATACGACCCAACTTGAAGTGGAGTGTTGATATGTATGCCTATGTGGACCACAAGGGCCCACTCACAGTTTAGAAAACTATGGATCAGTAGCTATATTTGAAAATACGGACTGATAGAGAAGTAAAAGACAACTAGACTTTTAACGCGAAAAGGAGGGCAGTCAAATTAATCTACTAGAAAATTAAATGTGCAGAAATCCACTCTTCTCCTATATTAATAAAAATGTGATTACAAAATGCTATTGGTGTCTAAAATCAATATTAGTTGGCTACAAAAGTTGTAGTTGGTTGTTATAATGATCGTAGTTAGCCATAGTAAATACTAACGGTGATCGACGACGACCTTTGCAAAATTTAATAGTCAGCGGCAAATTTTATTGGCAGGCTACAAATGTCGAGACTTCAAGAGTTAAGATTTAATAGTCAGCTCATTCTCTTCTCTCTTCCCCCCACCTCCCTTAAATGAAGAACAAGAGTCTCTTTATAGTTTTTGAGACAATCACTTTGGTAAAAATGACCAATCTCTCAAAACACTTCATCGAACGGTCCAAATTGATTCTCATGATCATATATAATTTTTTAAATCTTTGAGTGTCTTAATATCATCAGAATTTTATGAACATAGGCTTGTAGGATTCATAATGTCGAACCGCTCGATTTGATTATAAACATGCCAAATTTTGAAATTGTTCGACTTCTAATTAATGCATCAAAACCTTTGACTATACATTAAGTGTTTGATTTGGGCATATTTGAACTTGGATTGGATCGTTTTTTGTGTCATTGGGTTCGTCTTATCAAGATGGTCAGTTTAACTATAAACTTGTTAAAATTGGGACCTGAATGATAATAATTTTCAATCAAAACTTCAACTAAAACAATCAATAAAACAAAGAGAATTTTGAATAATTTAAGCATTCATTTCAATCTATAAAATGCATGTGTTGATGCAGATCAATAAATGGTTCTATCTTTTCATAACATTGAACCTTCATTGGCAACACATTCATCCGAATTATAGTTTATGAATTCTTCTTAATGATTTTATTATCATGCCTGTAGTTGGGATAATGAGGTAGGATTTCAAGCTTAAAAAAAGAATGGCAAAATTAGCTAGTTGCAGCAGAACTCTGTGCCACCTAATAAACAAAGGGGGCATTCACATAAACACCACACTATTGTTATATATATAAATATTTGAAACCTAAACTTTACTTTTTACATCTATAACAAACAAATGTTTCATATCATCAAAAATACCATCATTTTAACTTTTCAAAAGTGAAATACACCTTTTCAATCGTATGTAAGGTGGAATGTATGTAAAAATTAATGTTTAGGTTTAGATACGTAAATACAAAAGAATTGAGTGGTATGTTTTCTAAAATTCCTAAAAAAATTAAACTTAAGCACAACAAAAATATAGAGGTACAGGAAAAAGAGAAAAAAGCTAGGTCCAAACCTTCAGTTTATCTTCAAGCTCTTTAAGTTGATTAGATAGCATTTCAATTTCAAGCCCGATCATATTCGCCATATCTGGATCGCTCGCTTCCTCTTCTGCTAGAGCTATATGAAAAACAAATGCAGAACTTTATCATATGTGTGTAGAAGAAATAAAAAACAAAACAAACAGAGACAAACCTATTGATTCTTCTAGTTGTTTCTCGCAATTTTTGAGCTTGTTGTAGTAAGCTACGACCTGTCACTTCAGTCAAAAAAAAAGGAAATTAGCTTATACAAAGGACATGTTTTCAAGCTCAAATGAAACGCTAAAGGATCACTTTTATTTATTTTTTTATTTTGTTGTGTATATGTCATTTTGAAATAAAATACGGTTGTTAGTCATGATTGTCTTTAAAAGCACTCAAAACATCTAAGTATTGTTTTTGAGTGTTTTTAAAAGCAAATATAAAAACACTCATAAAATGCATAAATAAACATCTTAAAAATAAAAACAGAAATGTCCCAAACAAGTCGTAAGGCAATATAGTTACAAGGTATCATATAAGGCTTGCCTCATCAAGTTCTGCCATAGATTGTGCAAGCTTTTGATACTCGCTAGGATTTGATACAATATCAGGATCAGCCAGCTTGATCTGCAGGGTAAGCAGCAATGCTAAATCATTCTCATGCAAATTATAAAGGAATATTTACATACATACCACTTAATTCCTATGTATTTACATATCCAACACAAAAACTTCAATATTTACAATTATGACACATTTTTTATGCATGAAAAGGTGCATTTCACTTTTTAAAGTTAAAATAGTGGTACTTTTGATGTGATAAGAAAGATTTAGGTGGTAATAAATATAAAAGGTAAAGTTTAGGTGCTAGATACATAGGAATTGGATGGTATGTATGTAAATGCCCCAATTATAAAAGACTAATCTGATACAAAATACAAGCTGTTAAGCTGGTAGGATTCAAATGGAACAAAGCATATATTTCATGCCTAATGGATATTGTTATGCGCTTTGCCAAGTGAAGTTCAAGAAATGCATTTTAGAATCACGACAGAGAATGTAACACCAATTCATCTAGATTCGCTAGACTTGGATTGGTTCAGTTTCTAGGAAAAATAAATTAAAGCCTCATCCTAAGATTAAAATGGGAAAAAGTATCGGCAACACTATCGTAACTATCAAAGGGAAAATAATGAAGTGTTAAAAAGAGGATGCTCCATTTATAAAAGTGGAATCAAACAATAAATTGAGGTACAATGAAATAGGCAAACTCTAATAATCATATTTAGACATGTTTTCTACAATGATATTTCCTGCACTAACACGTCCCTTCAAGCTAGAGCATATATCATTTAACTCTAGTTTGTTAGAAAGTAAAATAAGGAGAAAAAGGTGAAAATATGCCAAAGAAATTTTAAGTTGACTTTCGCAAACAGTGAGCTTCAACCCTTATCTAGTGTGCCTTATGGCTGAGGACCCTTAGACTTGACCACTAAAGGTATTCGAGCGTAAATCATAACTATAATACAATGGCATCATCGTAAACGGACTAACTACCCAGTTAAGAGGTACATGTCACTCCCATGTTTGCAGAAGATTTTTAGCATGATCCTATATATACAATAGATATGAAATTAATTTTTTATAAGAGTTGATCAAAAATTAAATGTCATTGTTGACCTCATTTTGAGGTCATTACTCTTTTCCTTAAGAACCTAGAATCTAGTCATACGACTTTCCTATTGACTATCTTAGAAAACTAGTATTGAAATTCATCCCCTTAAAAATTCCAGTCACTTCCTATTTCTCTTGTGATGTCTCGCATTGATGATCTCAAAATCATCGGAGTGGTAAAGGACTCTATCATGTGAATGCTCAAGGAGAAGTTTCCAATAGGATCTCAAGCCCTAGAAAAACCTCTTCAGGACTCTATCATCACACATGTACACCAAATGTACAAAATTCACTAAATTGCACAATATCAGACTTAAATTGAGCCTAAAGAATGGGTGAAAATGTGAACTTCTCCGGACAACCTCCGACGACAAAATGGACTGTGTCAACACGTCCAAGATACCAATTTTAATAGGAAAATACATCCATATTGTCATATTTCCAACACGAGCAAAATTTCACGCAAATTGATGAATTCTTCAAAACGACTTCCGATGGTGAAACGGATCGCGCCAGCACGTCCAGAATGCCAAAATTACCTAAAAGGAACATTCAATTGTCTACAATCTGACACACGAATAAAAATGCATAAATCAGATTTTATTTTTGAAATATTAAATATTTTTATTTATAATAAAATTTTTAATCTTAAACCCTAAACCCTATTCCCGCATCCTTAATCCTTCGTTCGATCTCGTGGCTTAATCAGGCGCTTGGCTCGTCTCCCTCGTGTGCCTTAGCTCCAGTGGACGATCTACGCGGCAATCTCTTCCCCCTCTCTCGAATCTTCCCCTTCTTTGCGTGGTCGCTCGACCTTTCGGCTCTCCAATTACAAGGGCCAAGCTGACCAACTCTTCTTTATCTCGAGGTTCTACTGCCTCCCTCTTTACTGTGGCGATTATTGTCTCGCTGTTTGATTCACTTACCAGGGATGCTGGTTGGTGGCTGTCGTCTTCTCTTCTCTGCCTATAAAATAGCTTCTTAGCATACTGTTTTGGGTTGTTGAAAATTTTTTGATAGAAAGGAAGGTTGTGGTTTTATTCTTTGAGGCTTTTAAGGAAGAAAGCTCTGCCGAAATTCTTTCTAGGCTAAGTTTTCGTGTGCTTGGAGTGTGGAGCATTCGGGGATTGTTGTTTTCTGAAGCTTTTAGGAAAAGAGGCTCTGCTAAAGTTATCTTTTCGGCTAGGTCCTTGTGTGTTGGACGTTTGGGAGCTTGGTGCCTTTTTCTTTGTTTTGCGTTGAGGAAATCTCAAAATACTTCTTCTATCTCTTCTATGTTCTGTCACCATGCTTGACACATGTTGGAAGTGCTAAAATGGAAAATGCATGTATGAGGCTTTTGATTTGTTTTAACAGCTATCCAACAAGGGCATTGATATAAAAAATTGGGCATTTAATACTTTTGTTGGATCTGATTTAGACACATTATGTGGACTAGTTGAAATAACACTTTAGGGAAAGCATGTTTAGGTCCCTTCTCACATGTAGACCTTCTTCTTACACTTCTAATATTTCTTTACCTATATGTTGGAAATTGTGGTCTTCTTTCTTTGCTTCTTGTTGAAGCAGTTTACTATTAAAAGAAGGATGATGGCTTATGTTTCTTTCCTGTTTAAAATACATAAAAAAGTCATGGATATAAACTTTGGATTGATGTTTGCTCACCTAGAATCTATGTTGGAATCCATTTTAGTGTTGCAACATGTTGGCTTAGTGATGTATGCACACTTAAATGTTTCGTGTTATTTGATTCTATTTGAAACATATGTTGGCACGATATTTTGGAATATAAAGCTCCAAGGAGAAACATTTTCTGTTTTGACCCACTTGTTGAGTTCGGTTTGGACTCTTTTGGAATCAAATTTATGCTAGAAATATTTTCTGTTTTGACCCACTTGTTGGGTCCGATTTGAGCTCTTTTGGACTGTTTTTGACCCCCATTTGAAGGGCTCGATTTTGGCTATGTTTTGCCTTTCTTGTGGGCTCGGTTTGCCCATATGCTGGGTGCGGTTTTGGCTCATTTGGGTTGAATTCCTACCGGAAATGTTGATCTTTTTTTTCCACATATGCTGGGTGAGGTCTTGGCTTAAACTGTATTCTTTTTTCTAGCCTTTATGTTGGGATTAATTGAATTTGAAATAAGGAATTAGTTTGGCTTTAAGGCTTATCTGTTGGCTTCCTTTTACTGGGTTTAGTTGAGCTGAAAATGTGTTTTATGTTTGTCCGATCTTGTGGGCTCGGGTATGCCTGTTGTGGTTCCCTGTTTTTGTTTTTCTTCCTGGGCTCAAGTTTGTTGGCCACGGCTTTTCCTGTTCTGCCCTTTGTTGGGTTCGGCTGGGTTGGAAATTATGGATATAATGTTCCATTTTGAGATTTTTTTATTGGTAATCAAGTTTTTCATCCCAAAATTCATGCTTTCAATATCTACTTCTATGAGAGAATGCTTAATGTGAGCACTATCATGACTTAGGTGATGAAAAATGGTTTCAATCTAAATAATTTATGTGAGTTTATCCATTCACTCTCTTATATATATATTAAAGGAGCATAATAGTAATATTTGCGGCAGCTTTCCCTTTGCTGTGAAGCCTGCTTAATGGTTTTTGGTTTGCTGTCCCCCTACCCGTGAGCATCCTAGTTGGTTTCTTTTGTCCTGTTTGGTTTCCTCCTCTCTTCCCTTGGTCGTGAGCCTCACTGTTGTGACTTGTGTTGTGGTTGGCTTGGACTTAACTTTTTCGTCATTCCCCCTGGCTATGAGCTTTCTCTTGTGGTTCTTTCATGATAAAAATGGTTGGTTTAGACTTAAATGTATGGTGGCCTTTCTTGTCCCTATCTGCGAGTTTATATATGCGATGGCTTCTTTTTTTTTACTGCTCCTACCCGAGAACATCTACTGGTTGTCTGTGTAGGCTGCTGCCCTTACGCGAGAACAATCACGTGATTCTCTTTTAGTTCATTTGTTTGTTTCCTGCTTTTCCCTTTGCTACGAGGTTGGTTTAAGTGGTTTTGGTTTGCTCCACTGCTTGTGAGCATTCCAATTGGTTTCCCTTTGTCTCGATTGGCAGTTTTCTGCTGCCCTTGGTTGTCAGCATTCTCCTATAGCTCTTTTATGATTAATGGAGCTGTTTAGGGGCTTGGTTTTCTTTTCACTACCCTTGGTCGTGGGCTTTACTGTGGAGGTTCTTGGGTCTGTGACATAGTTGGTTTAGGTGGCTTTCTTCTACTGCCCTTGCCTGTGAGCTTTGTTTTATTTACTGTCTTAAATTGTGAAGTTTATGTTGAAGCTAGGTTGTGCATTTCACGATTTCTATTTGTGGGCTTGCTATGAGGCTTGGCTGCTCCCTTTCGTGGCCTTACCCGTTAACACTTGCTCTCCTTCCTGCTATTACCCGTGAGTCTGTTGAGGATTATTCAGGTTCATTTTGTCCCGGCCGTGAGCATTTCTATATTTTCTAAATTAGTGTTACATTTTCTAAATTAGTGTTAC